GGTTGCATTCCCCGGCGAAATCGAAGCTCTCAAGAGCAACCGCGTAATAAGCAAGACTAACATCGCGGCTCTGAGTCCGTTTCTTGATCAAAGCGGTCTCATTCGAATTGGGGGGCGTATTAGGAGAGCGGAGTTAACATTTTCACAAAAACACCCGATTTTACTTCCCAACCGATGCCACTTAACCGATTGTATAATTCGTGAGATCCATAATAATAATCATCACACGGGTATCCAAGCTACTCTGAATATCCTCCGACAGAGATTTTGGCTCCTCGATGGTCGTAATCAGGTTCGGAAAGTTATTCGTACGTGTACACGCTGCTCGAGATTCAATGCCAAAGCGGTCGAATATAAAATGGGTGACCTTCCACCGGTTCGGGTACGCCAGGCGATTCCCTTCTCTAACACTGGAGTCGACTTTTGCGGCCCCTTCTTTATTAAAGAGAAAAAACATCGTAACCGCACGCGGGTCAAGGTATACGTATGCATATTTGTATGCATGACAATTAAGGCAGTGCATCTAGAGGTTGTCAGCGACCTATCCTCCGAAGGTTTTATTGCCGCTTTACGTCGCTTCATCGCGAGAAGGGGATTGCCGCAGCATATTTTTTCCGACAATGGAACCAACTTTGTAGGCGCAAACAATAAGCTGAGAGAATTATACGTTTTATTTAACTCGGACGATCACAGAAATATCGTGGATAGATTCGCGAGCGAACGGCGAATCACGTGGCATTTCATCCCACCGATGGCACCGCACTTCGGCGGTTTGTGGGAGTCGATGGTACGGTTGTTCAAGCACCACTTTAAACGCGTCGTCGGAGACTCTCTATTTACCTTCGAGGAATTAGATACTTTTACCACCGAAGTCGAGGGTATCCTGAACTCCAGACCGATTACATCCTTATCATCCGATCCAAACGACATATTAGTCTTAACCCCTGCACATTATTTGATTGGAAAACCACTAATATCGCTTCCGGAGGGCAACTTGTCACATGTTCCAGTCAATCGTTTATCTACCTGGAAGCACATAACAAAGGTGCGACAAGATTTTTGGGCACGATGGCACAAAGAATATTTGAACGAACTACAGAAGCGCATCAAATGGGTCAAAAACGGACCGAAAATTGAGGTCGGAACGATCGTCACCATCAAAGACAAAAACCTGCCATGCATGCAGTGGGCACTGGGACGTATTCTACAAGTACACCCAGGCGAGGACGGAGTCGTACGAGTGGCTACTGTCCAGACCGCAGCCGGAGTGATAAAAAGATCAACATCATTGTTGTGTCCACTACCGTTGAAGCAATAACTAAGCGACATGCGTATGCGAAATCATGACAACGTTGTATGAACAATATATCAAATATGTAATATGCGTAATGTAATCAATAAGAGTAACATTCGAACTCAAACAGATTAGTTGATCCATACTCTCTCAACGGGGGGAGTATGTTATGCGTTCATTCGTTA